TCATCCGATAATCGCCGTCACGCGGATTATATGTAATCATGGTTTCCTCGGGTGTGCGGCCCCCGAATACTCAGACTGCTCCGGGGAATAAAGGTCTCCTCCAACGGAAACCTTCTGAAATAATTCGATGATAATTACTGAATTCACCCCGTGAACTCGCTGCGCTGAGGGGGAGGGGCTCGGAGAATAACATGTCTCCTAATGACCCAATTCTGACTGTGAGCTGAGATCCGTCTTTGGTCCTTTCCCCCGTCTGGTGTCATTTATATAATGAGTGTCACCCTACTCACCCTTTTACCTCCCAGGCACTCTCTGCCATCCTCTGATTGGATACTGTACCGGAGACTACAAATTATATCACCACTGTGCCACTACCTGGAAGTCTGGAGAACATGGCCTTTCATTGATGATATCACTGCTGTTCCACTACCTGGAAGAATGGAGAACATGGCCTTTCATTGATGATATCACTGCTGTTCCACTACCTGGAAGTCTGGAGAACATGGCCTTTCATTGATGATATCACTGCTGTGCCTCTACCTGGAAGTCTGGAGAACATGGCCTTTCATTGATGATATCACTGCTGTTCCACTACCTGGAAGAATGGAGAACATGGCCTTTCATTGATGATATCACTGCTGTTCCACTACCTGGAAGTCTGGAGAACATGGCCTTTCATTGATGATATCACTGCTGTGCCTCTACCTGGAAGTCTGGAGAACATGGCCTTTCATTGATGATATCACCGCTGTGCCTCTACCTGGAAGTCTGGAGAACATGGCCTTTCATTGATGATATCACTGCTGTTCCACTACCTGGAAGAATGGAGAACATGGCCTTTCATTGATGATATCACTGCTGTTCCACTACCTGGAAGTCTGGAGAACATGGCCTTTCATTGATGATATCACTGCTGTTCCACTACCTGGAAGTCTGGAGAACATGGCCTTTCATTGATGATATCACCGCTGTGCCTCTACCTGGAAGTCTGGAGAACATGGCCTTCATTGATGATATCACCGCTGTGCCTCTACCTGGAAGTCTGGAGAACATGGCCTTTCATTGATGATATCACCGCTGTGTCTCTACCTGGAAGTCTGGAGAACATGGCCTTTTATTGATGATATCACTGCTGTTCCACTACCTGGAAGTCTGGAGAACGTGGCCTTTTATTGATGATATCACTGCTGTTCCACTACCTGGAAGTCTGGAGAACATGGCCTTTCGCTGATGATATCACCGCTGTGCATGTAGGGAGGTGCTTTCAAAGTGTTTTTCTCTTCATGCTCTGAGGTTCTTCAGGTGAACCGTATTTATGTACAACTAAATGTTACAATGTAACTTGTATCTGTTGTCCATGGTGGACCTGCTGGGTGGTGGACCCTCTGGATGGTGGACCTGCTGGGTGGTGGACCCTCTGGATGGTGCACTTGTTGGGTGGTGGACCTGCTGGGTGGTGGACCTGCTGGATGATGGACCTTCTGGATGGTGGACCTGCTGCGTGGTGGACCTGCTGGGTGGTGGACCTGCTGGGTGGTGGACCTGCTGGGTGGTGGACCCGCTGCTTGGTGGACCTGCTGGGTGGTGGACCCTCTGGATGGTGGACGTGCTGGATGGTGGACCTGCTGGGTGGTGGACCTGCTGGGTGGTGGACCTGCTAGGTGGTGGACCTGCTGGGTGGTGGACCTGCTGGGTGGTGGATCCGCTGGGTAGTGGACCTTCTGGGTGGTGGACCGCTGCTTGGTGGACCTGCTGGGTGGTGGATTTGCTGGGTTGCGGACCTGTGAAGGAAGGGTTAACTGTGTTTTTGAGGTTTTCCCGCTCTTTATGGGAGGTTACCACCCCCTACAGGTCATACCATATAAAGAGTGGATCATTAGTGCCCCGAAGAGCGGTCAGGATATACTCTCAGGATTTACTCTGCTGGTTTGCCCCCTTGTGGCAACCCAGTCAGGGTTCCATGAAGAATGGACCTTCATGGATCTACATGAACCTACATGGGCCTACGTGGACCTTCACGGACCTACATGGGCCTACATGGATCTACATCGATCTATGTGGACCTACATGGATCTACAAGGACCTGCATGGGCCTACATGGATCTACGTGGACCTACATGGACCTTCATGGACCTTCATGGACCTACATGGGCCTACATGGACCTACGTGGACCTTCATGGGCCTACATGGATCTACATGGACCTTCATGGATCTACATCGATCTATGTGAACCTACATGGATCTATGTGGACCTTCATGCACCTTCATGGACCTACATGAATCTACATGGACCTTCATGGACCTACATGGACCTACGTGGACCTTCATGGGCCTACATGGATCTACATGGACCTTCATGAATCTACATCAATCTACGTGGACCTACATAGATCTACCTGGAGTTCTGGAGAACATGGCCTGTTACAGATATCTCAGCTGTGCCTCTACCTGGAAGTCTGGAGAACATGGCCTTTCATTGATGATATCACTGCTGTGCCTCTTCCTGGAAGTCTGGAGAACATGGCCTTTCACTGATGATATCACCGCTGTGCATGTAGGGAGGTGCTTTCAAAGTGTTTTTCTCTTCATGCTCTGAGGTTCTTCAGGTGAACCGTATTTATGTACAACTAAATGTTACAATGTAACTTGTATCTGTTGTCCATGGTGGACCCGCTGGGTGGTGGACCCTCTGGATGGTGGACCCTCTGGATGGTGGACCTGCTGGGTGGTGGACCCTCTGGATGGTGGACTTGTTGGGTGGTGGACCTGCTGGGTGGTGGACCTGCTGGGTGGTGGACCTGCTGGGTGATGGACCTGCTGCATGGTGGACCTGCTGGGTGGTGGACCTGCTGGGTGGTGGACCCGCTGCTTGGTGGACCTGCTGGGTGGTGTACCCGCTGGATGGTGGACCCGCTGGGTGGTGGACCTGCTGGGTGGTGGACCTGCTAGGTGGTGGACCTGCTAGGTGGTGGACCTGCTAGGTGGTGGACCTGCTGGGTGGTGGACCTGCTGGGTGGTGGATCCGCTGGGTAGTGGACCTTCTGGGTGGTGGACCCGCTGCTTGGTGGACCTGCTGGGTGGTGGATTTGCTGGGTTGTGGACCTGAGAAGGAAGGGTTAACTGTGTTTTTTGAGGTTTTCCCGCTCTTTATGGGAGGTTACCACCCCCTACAGGTCATACCATATAAAGAGTGGATCATTAGTGCCCCAAAGAGCGGTCAGGATATACTCTCAGGATTTACTCTGCTGGTTTGCCCCCTTGTGGCAACCCAGTCAGGGTTCCATGAAGAATGGACCTTCATGGATCTACATGAACCTACATGGGCCTACGTGGACCTTCACGGACCTACATGGATCTACATCGATTTATGTGGACCTACATGGATCTACAAGGACCTGCATGGGCCTACATGGATCTACGTGGACCTACATGGGCCTACATGGACCTACGTGGACCTTCATGGGCCTACATGGATCTACATGGACCTTCATGGATCTACATCGATCTATGTGGACCTACATGGATCTATGTGGACCTTCATGGATCTACATGGACCTACATGAATCTACATGGACCTACGTGGACCTTCATGGGCCTACATGGATCTACATGGACCTACATCATCATCTACGTGGACCTACATAGATCTACCTGGAGTTATGGAGAACATGGCCTGTTACAGATATCTCAGCTGTGCCTCTACCTGGAAGTCCTGGAAGTCTGGGGACTCTGATAAGGGTGGATTGTGCAGTGTGGAGCCCCCCCCCCCAATCATATAAACACGCCAGGTTCTCAGAATGTCACTTTATTCCAATGATAACATGGGAAGAGTCTCCATGATGTAACAAAGAGGATGATGTCACAAGGTTTTCTCCTGATGATGTCATACATAATAAACATCACATGTCCTCTGGATCTTCCATGGGAAGAAGTCATAGAAAACGTCCAGTTCAGCCTGTTGGAGTTGTGGATGTGATTCCTGTGAGGGCAGCAGACGACGTTCTGTGGTTTCAGTCCCTCAGTGAAGGCGCCAAGCTGAACCCTGCACCCAAAAATGCATATTTGTATTGTAATTCCTATGAGCGGACTGGGAGAGCGCCACCTTCTGGGTATAACACGGCTCAGGTACCAGGGGAGCCCCTAGACTGCCGCTGTAAGGGAGACCCTGGACTACCATGGGGGGAGGTCTCCTGACAAGTGTAAGGGGGGACATCTGTCCATTGTAGGGGGGACTGGTGAGTAGTTAGGTGGGGACATCTGCTCCGTGTAGGGGGACTGGTGAGTAGTTAGGTGGGGACATCTGCTCAGGTAGGGGGGACTGGTGAGTAGTTAGGTGGGGACATCTGCTCCGTGTAGGGGGACTGGTGAGTAGTTAGGTGGGGACATCTGCTCAGGGTAGGGGGGACTGGTGAGTAGAGTGGAGGGGGGGCATGTGTAGGGACTGGTGAGTAGGTTGGGGGACATCTGCCCAGTGTAGGGGGACTGGTGAGTAGGTTGGGGGACATATGCCCAGTTCAGTAGGGGGACTGGTGAGTAGGTTGGGGGGACATCTGCCCAGTGTAGGGGGACAGTAGGTTGGGGGACATCTGCCCAGTGTAGGGGGACTGGTGAGTAGAGTGGAGGGGGGGCATCTGCCCAGGTAGGGGACATAGGTGCATCTGCCCAGTGTAGAGGGACTGGTGAGTAGGTTGGGGGACATATGCCCAGTGTAGGGGGACTGGTGAGTAGGTTGGGGGACATATGCCCAGTGTAGAGGGACTGGTGAGTAGGTTGGGGGACATATGCCCAGTGTAGGGGGACTGGTGAGTAGGTTGGGGGACATCTGCCCAGTGTAGGGGGACTGGTGAGTAGAGTGGAGGGGGGGCATCTGCCCAGTGTAGAGGGACTGGTGAGTAGGTTGGGGGGGACATCTGCCCAGTGTAGAGGGACTGGTGAGTAGGTTGGGGGGACATATGCCCAGTGTAGGGGGACTGGTGAGTAGGTTGGGGGGACATCTGCCCAGTGTAGGGGGACTGGTGAGTAGGTTGGGGGGACATATGCCCAGTGTAGGGGGACTGGTGAGTAGGTTGGGGGACATCTGCCCAGTGTAGGGGGACTGGTGAGTAGAGTGGGGGGGCATCTGCCCGGTGTAGGGGGTCTATGTACTAAGCAGAGTTTTGGGGGAGCTGGAGGAAGGAGGGACTGTGACTGCTGGTGGGGGGGGTCAGGTAAGTACTGAGGGGGAAGGGCAATAGCTGTGCCCAGATTTGGGGTATCTCAGTTAAGGGCCCCCCCAGGTGGTCATGGGGGGGATGCGGCTTTAAAGGGGAATGTTGTATATGGATGGCGGTGCCTAGTGGCAGCCATGTTTGTGGACCCCCCAGTCTCAGAGTTCGGTGTTCCCGGTTGGGATTTTCTCGGATCGATCGATGTCGTCTCCGGAAGCAGCAATACTTGTTGTCATTGAGGTAATCGTCATGTTGTGCGCCGTTCTGTGAACTGAAGGCGGTCGGCACGGTGTAGGCGGGATGGCACCAACAGTAGCCGTGGCGATGTGCAGAAATCGGTCGGCTCGGTGTAGGCGGGATGGCACCAACAGTAGCCGTGGCGATGTGCAGAAATCGGTCGCACGGTGTAGGCGGGATGGCACCAACAGTAGCCGTGGCGATGTGCAGAAATCGGTGGCACGGTGTAGGCGGGATGGCACCAACAGTAGCCGTGGCGATGTGCAGAAATCGATCGGCTCGGTGTAGGCGGGATGGCACCAACAGTAGCCGTGGCGAGTGCAGAAATCGATCGGCTCGGTGTAGGCGGGATGGCACCAACAGCAGCCGTGGCGATGTGCAGAAATTGATCGGCTCGGTGTAGGCGGGATGGCACCAACAGTAGCCGTGGCGATGTGCAGAAATCGGTCGCACGGTGTAGGCGGGATGGCACCAACAGTAGCCGTGGCGATGTGCAGAAATCGGTCGCACGGTGTAGGCGGGATGGCACCAACAGCAGCCGTGGCGATGTGCAGAATTGGACCCTCCTGTCCCGGCACACCGCCATCTTTGAACCTTTTCAGTGCCGTCTGGATATGAGGAGCAGCTGACGGCACAGAAGGCGTCCCATCGGTCAGATTGGACGCCATGGATACCCAACAGAGAGGGGGCGCCCTCCGCGGTCCATAGGGTGAGATAGGGTGAGACCCGTATTTCTGGAGTGCCCCACATCTCGGGGGTCCCGTCGGAAGGGGTGGAACGGAGGGGAGCCGATGACCAGATCTGTGCGTTTGGGGTCTCGGCCGCCCGGCGTTCTCCGGCGTTGGATGGAAGCTAAAATGTCTGAAAATGTCCTTATATACAGGTATGGAAGTCTGTCCGGGGGCCGGCCTGGAGGTGTGTCCTGGGGTGGCCCCTCCCTATATACAAAGGAAGAAAATACCAGGCATGGTGGACAGATTGTAATATAGAGGAGGAGTTTCCAGACGCTGGGGGCGGGGCTTCAGACACATAAAGATGATCCTATAGGATTCACCAGATTATTAGAACTAAGTGGCAAACGAGAAACACTGACCGATCTGTCCAACGGGAAGGGGAGGAGTCTGGGGAGTTCTAGGGGCCCCAACCTGCGTACTACGCCCCATAGGTCTAGAATAGGGGCCCCAACCTGCGTACTGCGCTCATAGTTCTAGAATAGGGGCCCCAACCTGCGTTTTTCCCCCATAGTTTCAGAATAGGGGCCTCAACCTGCGTACTGCGCTCATAGTTCCAGAATAGGGGCCCCAACCTGCGTACTACGCCCCATAGGTCTAGAATAGGGACCCCAACCTGCGTACTGCGCTCATAGTTCTAGAATTGGGGCCCCAACCTGCATACTATGCCCCATAGTTCCAGAATAGGGGCCCCAACCTGCATACTATGCCCCATAGTTCCAGAATAGGGGCCCCAACCTGCGTACTATGCCCCATAGTTCCAGAATAGGGGCCCCAACCTGCGTACTGCGCTCATAGTTCTAGAATAGGGGCCCCAACCTGTGTACTGCGCTCATAATTCCAGAATAGGGGCCCCAACCTGCGTACTACGCTCATAGTTTTAGAAATGGGGCCCCAACCTGCATACTACGCTCCATAGTTCCAGAATAGGGGCCCCAACCTGCGTACTGCGCTCATAATTCCAGAATAGGGGCCCCAACCTGCATACTATGCCCCATAGTTCCAGAATAGGGGCCCCAACCTGCGTATTGCACTGTATCTGTTTGGATCCTCCATCTTGATATATATTGCTCATAAAACCTGTGTATTAGACCTCATGTCTCCTATATCTCTGTATAATGACTCTCTATGTACTCTGTATGAGGACCTGGGATACTATGACCCTCTATATTACATATATGTTCTCTGTATGAGGACCTGGGATACTATGACCCTCTATATTACATATATGTATCTGTATGAGGACCTGGGATACTATGACCCTCTATATCACATATATGTACTCTGTATGAGGACCTGGGATACTATGACCCTCTATCATCTGTGTATAATGACCTGGGTATACTATGACCCTCTATATTACATATATGTTCTCTGTATGAGGACCTGGGATACTATGACCCTCTATATTACATATATGTTCTCTGTATGAGGACCTGGGATACTATGACCCTCTATATTACATATATGAGGACTGTATGAGGACTGGGATACTATGACCCTCTATATCACATATATGTTCTCTGTATTACACCATAGAAAGGCCTCTGATCTCCCCCAGAACATTATTGCACACTTGCCCTTGCAGCACTTTGTTTCGGGTTCTATTGCACAATGTGAGCCGCCATCTTTCTGCCATCACAGAATAGAATATAGAAAAGTGCAGTTGGTGATAACATGAAAACAGCGGTCACCTAGAGGCCCTTCTGGAGGGGGAGGAGCTCAGCATAGAAGAGGTTCATGGCGGTCATCTCAGAGAATGACCCTTCCTCCCCCCGGACGCACACAGAGGTCATACTGAACCCAACTCTGGAGATCCGCTGACATCACATCAGGGTCTTCAGAGAGGGCCGGCACACTAAAATCCATGTCATACTTTATTGGTTGGCACACCTGAGGGGGAGGGCTCACTGGAATCCATGTAAGATATCATGGGTCAGTACAACCGGGGGGGTGGGCGTTCTGGAATCCATGTGAGATTCTATTGGTCGGCACACCTACTGGGGGTGGGATCAGTGGAATCCATGGTAGATTCCATTGGTCGGCACACCTACTGGGGGTGGGATCAGTGGAATCCATGGTAGATTCCATTGGTCGGCACACCTACTGGGGGTGGGATCAGTGGAATCCATTGTAGATTCCATTGGTCGGCACACCTACTGGGGGTGGGATCAGTGGAATCCATTGTAGATTCCATTGGTCGGCACACCTACTGGGGGTGAGATCAGTGGAATCCATGGTAGATTTCATTGGTCGGTACACCTACTGGGGGTGGGATCCGTGGAATACATGGTAGATTCCATTGGTCGGCACACTTACTGGGGGTGGGATCAGTGGAATCCATGGTAGATTCCATTGGTCGGCACACCTACTGGGGGTGGGATCAGTGGAATCCATGGTAGATTCCATTGGTCGGCACACCTACTGGGGGTGGGATCAGTGGAATCCATTGTAGATTCCATTGGTCGGCACACCTACTGGGGGTGAGATCAGTGGAATCCATGGTAGATTTCATTGGTCGGTACACCTACTGGGGGTGGGATCCGTGGAATACATGGTAGATTCCATTGGTCGGCACACTTACTGGGGGTGGGATCAGTGGAATCCATGGTAGATTCCATTGGTCGGCACACTTACTGGGGGTGGGATCACTGGAATCTATGTGAGATTCCATTGGTCGGCACACCTACTGGGGGTGGGCTTGCTGGAATCCATGTGAGATTCCATTGGTCGGCACACCCGGTGAGAGCTCACAGGCCCGCCAGGCTACACCCTGTATACATGAAGCACCCTGTATTTCCGAGATATTACTCTGTATGTACTATTGCTATATCGAGATCGCAGCACAAAGAGATCTCTATGTAAACACATCACACGGGGACCCGGAACACGATGGCTGCAATGAGTTACGAGAGGAAGCCCTGTGGCTGGTCTGGTGGCCTCTCAGTCACATGATCTCCAGACACGAGAGGCAACAGGTCCTCTTCTCACATTCAGGTATCGGGCTCATTCAGAGTCTTCATCACAAGTGCATTCTGGGTCCTAATGTGTTGATGAGCTGAGCCCTCATGATCTGGATACTGGTAAGGATCTTCTTCTGGTGTCCTATCAGAGTGATGCCAAGTCTCCGAATGTCCCTGTGGAGAAGACACAACAAGTGTAAGAGTTTCCTCATCATTTCAAGGAGACCTGCGCCACCATTGTCATATGAAGAGTCCTAGAGTGGCCGCCATTGTCATATGAAAAGTCCTAGAGTGGCCGCCATTGTCATATGAAAAGTCCTAGAGTTGCCGCCATTGTCATATGAAAAGTCCTAGAGTGGCCGCCATTGTCATGAGGATTACTAGAATCCCCGCCTTGCTCTGTCCAATGGCCGCCATTGTCATATGGAGAGTCCTAGAATCCCTGCACTGCTCAGTCCAATGGCCGCCATTGGCATATGAAGTGTCTGAGAATCCACACACTGCTCTATCCAATGGCTGCCATTGGCATCAGAAGAGTCCTAGAATCCCTGCCTTGCTCTGTCCAATGGCCGCCATTGTCATTTGAAGAGTCCTAGAATCCCTGCACTGCTTTATCCAATGGCTGCCATTGTCATATGGAGAGTCCTAGAATTCCCGCCTTGCTCTGTCCAATGGCCATCATTGGCATATGAGGAGTACTAGAATCCCAGCCTTGCTCTGTCCAATGGCCGTCATTGGCATAGGAAGAGTCCTAGAATCCCCGCACCGCTCTGTCCAATGGCCACCATATGAAGAGTACTGTAGTCACCGCACTGATCTGCCCAATGGACATCCTAGTGAAGTGGCCAGACTCTCAGCACTTCTGCAAGAATCTGCCCAGGAAGGACACGGGATCCCGGAGGGCCCCCACTCATAATATTTAATCTCCCATTGCTAGCTGGTGACGCAGCACACACAAAGACACAAAAAGACTGTATTCTGATTGGCTTAGACCCCCATTTTGGATTTGTTGCATATTTCTCGAGTCTCTTCTCCTCTCATGTTGTGGGATTCCATAACATTGTATATCCTGCAGTTGACATCTAGAGGATCAGATCATTGAAAACCGTTCACAATGGGATGAAGCTTGGTATCTCTACCCACAACAGGAGCCCAACCAGGCCACCAGAATTCCGGCAGGTCCATTGTGATCCCACATTTAGGTGACCAGATGAAAAATGGCCAATCTAGTGTCCTAATCCATCCCATGCAGCTCCTTATGAAGACGTACAACACTAGATGGGATTACCAGGAATTGTACACACGTTGGGGGCCCTCAGGAGGGACATCTGTGCCTGGCCCATGTATGTTATAGACTGGTTCAGAAATGGGGATGAACCTCATGGGTTTACCATTTGGGTTAGAGAGAACCAGTCATTACTGGGAATCTCTAAGAATCGGACTTTCCCTCCTGAATTGTGATGGTAGCAGGACCTTGTGTTGGGCTGCAGGACCACCATAGAGGCCAACCAAACTCTAATATAACACCGATTCTGCCAGGATTACATGGAGGAAAAATTACTGTTCATTAGGACTGTACCTTCCTCCAGCATTCCAGACACAATGTCCGTCACTAGCCCCAGGCTCAGGCGGGTGTCAGTCACTAGCCCCAGGCTCAGGCGGGTGTCAGTCACTAGCGCCAGGCTCAGGCGGGTGTCAGTCACTAGCGCCAGGCTCAGGCGGGTGTCAGTCACTAGCCCCAGGCTCAGGCGGGTGGCAGTCACAAGCCCCAGGCTCAGATGGGTGGCAGTCACTAGCCCCAGGCTCAGATGGGTGGCACTCACTAGCCCCAGGCTCAGGCGGGTGTCAGTCACTAGCCCCAGGTTCAGGCGGGTGTCAGTCACTAGCCCCAGGCTCAGGCGGGTGTCAGTCACTAGCCCCAGGTTCAGGCGGGTGTCAGTCACTAGCCCCAGGCTCAGGCGGGTGTCAGTCACTAGCCCCAGGCTCAGATGGGTGGCAGTCACTAGCCCCAGGCTCAGGCGGGTATCATTTACTAGCCCCAGGCTCAGATGGGTGGCAGTCACTAGCCCCAGGCTCAGATGAGTAGCAGTCACTAGCCCCAGGCTCAGGCGGGTGTCAGTCACTAGCCCCAGGCTCAGGCGGGTGTCAGTCACTAGCCCCAGGCTCAGATGAGTGGCAGTCACTAGCCCCAGGCTCAGGCGGGTGGCAGTCACTAGCCCCAGGCTCAGGTGGGTGTCAGTCAATAGCTGCAGACTCAGGTTGGTGTCAAGACAGCCCAGGTTCAGGCAGGTATCAGGACAGCTCCAGGTTCAGGTGGGTGTCAAAACAGCCCGGGTTCGAGGGGGTGTCAGGACAGCCACAGGTTCAGGCGGGTGTCAGGACAGCCCCCAGGCTTAGGCAGGTTTCAGGACTATACTGGGTTCAGGAGGGGTGCCAGGACAGTCTCAAGGCTCAGGCAGGTGTCAGGACAACCTCCAGGCTCAGGCGGGTGTCAGAACAGTCCCCAGGCCCAGGCGGGTGTCAGAACAGCCCCCAGGCTCAGAAAGGTGTCAGGATAGCCCCCAGACTTAGGCAGGTGTCAGGACAGCTCCCAGGCTCAGGCAGGTCCAGGCTCAGGCAGGTGTCAGAACAATCGCCAGGCTCAGGCGGGTGTCAGGACAGCCTCCAGGCTCAGGCGGGTGTCAGGAATTCCCCAGGCTCAGGCGAGTGCTAGGACAGCCTCCAGGCTCAGGCAGGTGTCAGGACAGCCTCCAGGCTCAGGCAGGTGTCAGGACAGCCTCCAGGCTCAGGCGGGTGTCAGGACAGCCTCCAGGCTCAGGCGGGTGTCAGGACAGTCCCCAGGCTCAGGCAGGTGTCAGGACAGCCTCCAGGCTCAGGCGGGTGTCAGGACAGTCCCCAGGCTCAGGCAGGTGTCAGGACAGTCCCCAGGCTCAGGCGGGTGTCAGGACAGTCCCCAGGCTCAGGCGGGTGTCAGGACAGCCTCCAGGCTCAGGCGGGTGTCAGAATAATCCCCAGGCTCAGGCGGGGTGTCAGGACAGCCTCCAGGCTCAGGCGGGTGCCAGGACAGTCCCCAGGCTCAGGCGGGTGTCAGGACAGCCTCCAGGCTCAGGCGGGTGTCAGGACAGCCTCCAGGCTCAGGCAGGTGTCAGGACAGTCCCCAGGCTCAGACGGGTGTCAGGACAGTCCCCAGGCTCAGACGGGTGTCAGGACAGCCTCCAGGCTCAGGCGGGTGTCAGGACAGCCTCCAGGCTCAGGCGGGTGTCAGGACAGCCTCCAGGCTCAGGCGGGTGTCAGGACAGTCCCCAGGCTCAGGCGGGTGTCAGGACAGCCTCCAGGCTCAGGCGGGTGTCAGGACAGCCTCCAGGCTCAGGCGGGTGTCAGGACAGTCCCCAGGCTCAGGCAGGTGTCAGAATAATCCCCAGGCTCAGGCGGGTGTCAGGACAGTCCCCAGGCTCAGGCGGGTGTCAGGACAGCCTCCAGGCTCAGGCGGGTGTCAGGACAGCCTCCAGGCTCAGGCAGGTGTCAGGACAGCCTCCAGGCTCAGGCGGGTGTCAGGACAGTCCCCAGGCTCAGGCAGGTGTCAGAATAATCCCCAGGCTCAGGCGGGTGTCAGGACAGCCCCAAAACACATACCTGCCACCAAGAGGTAAGGCTGCACTATTATGGGGCCCTACACTGGGATGATGTATGCCCGGGGGGGGGGGGGGGGGGGGAGAATACAGTTGAGTAACAGCACACACAGCGCCCCTGAGAGGTACTGCTGAATAATGACAGCTTACAAATGGCCGCTCAGATTCTGATCAATTCCAGAACTTTTCATTTCATTTGAGGGAGAAAAGACCATAAAGTGACCAAATCTGCGCCATCTGATGGTCCTTTGGATGTTCTGAGATCAGTGCCCAGAGCTCTAACCACCTCAAACTCCAGCTGGGATTGGGGTAATGGGAGTGGCCTGTTCTGGGGAAGGTGGAGGCTCCCTCTATGGCGCCCTCTGCTGTGTACTGATATGTAGGCGACAGGTACACTTTAAGATGTCTCCTCTGCCAGGTGAACTGTATGTTGTGTCCTCCACCATGATTGGGCGTCAGACTCACTCTATATTCATCCGCATGACCATCCCCAGGGTGCGGTAGCCGCCCATCACGAAGTTCTGCTTGTACTGGCTCATCTTGATGGAGTCCAGCCAGTCACCCACTGTGGCACAACTGGCAAAATCGAAGAGTCCCCGGTCCAGCCGCGGGTGGGTGAATCTAGGAGACAGCAGAGAAGGAGTTCAGTAGTGGGCACTTACCGTTGGGGGAGGGACATTGGCCAAGGCGTGAACTATGAACCTGTATGAGATCACATGGTGAAGGCACGTTCAGTCTTCTCAGCCAATGAACATTTCATTGGGGAGGTCCCACCTGGCCTACATGAACATGGTCGCTCTTCTAGCCCTGCACTCCTGATGATAGAACGTTCCATCTGCTGGAACCATGAAGAGAAGAATGGAGCCGTCACACCAGCTGAGATTCCTTCCTTCTGGTGAGGTTCTAGGTCCCCCTAAGCTCCGCACAGCCAGGCAACACGCACTCCCCACACTTCCATCCACAGTCCACCAGCCTGGCTTCGGTTATTTATCAGGATGGGAAGAGGGATTATGGGATGCCCAGCTTGGCTGGATCAATGAACGGGGACAACATCCTTCCTGTGTACAGAGCCAGATCCTGGAATGTTCTCCTCCTTGAGAGCCGGCAGTCATTACGGATCAGCACCTCAGCCCCTTACAGACCCGCAGACCCCGGAAAGTCAACTCAGCTTGCTGCAACCTACATGCAGAGATGTCTCCTTTCCACTGTAGAGCTGCTCCTTAGGGGTCACTAGGAGTCAGCCTTCTTCTGGATGATTATCCTGGGGTCACTAGGAGGCAGCCTTCTTCTGGATCATTATCCTGGGGTCACTAGGAGTCAGCCTTCTTCTGGATCATTATCCTGGGGTCACTAGGAGGCAGCCTTCTTCTGGATCATTATCCTGGGGTCACTAGGAGTCAGCCTTCTTCTGGATCATTATCCTGGGGTCACTAGGAGTCAGCCTTCCTCTGGATCATTATCCTGGGGTCACTAGGAGGCAGCCTTCTTCTGGATCATTATCCTGGGGTCACTAGGAGGCAGCCTTCTTCTGGATCATTATCCTGGGGTCACTAGGAGTCAGCCTTCTTCTGGATCATTATCCTGGGGTCACTAGTAGGCAGCCTTCTTCTGGATCATTATCCTGGGGTCACTAGGAGTCAGCCTTCTTCTGGATCATTATCCTGGGGTCACTAGGAGGCAGCCTTCTTCTGGATCATTATCCTGGGGTCACTAGGAGTCAGCCTTCTTCTGGATCATTATCCTGGGGTCACTAGGAGGCAGCCTTCTTCTGGATCATTATCCTGGGGTCACCAGGAGGCAGCCTTCTTCTGGATCATTATCCTGGGGTCACTAGGAGTCAGCCTTCTTCTGGATCATATTCCTGGGGTCACTAGGAGTCAGCCTTCTTCTAGATCATTATCCTGGGGTCACATGAGGTCACCCTTCTTCTGGATCATTATCCTGGGGTCACTAGGAGGCAGCCTTCTTCTGGATCATATTCCTGGGGTCACAAGGAGTCAGCCTTCTTCTGGATCATTATCCTGATGTTACATGAGGTCACCCTTCTTCTGGAACTTATTCCTGGGGTCACGAGGTCAGCCTTCTTCTGGATCATATTCCTGGGGTCATATGAGGTCAGCCTTCTGGATCATATTCCTGGGGTCACAAGGTCACCCTTCTTCTAGATCATATTCCTGGGGTCACATGAGGTCACCCTTTTTCTGGATCATATTCCTGGGGTCACATGAGGTCACCCTTTTTCTGGATCATATTCCTGGGGTCACATGAGGTCACCCTCCTTCTGGATCATATTCCTGAGGTCACATGAGGTCAGCCTTCTTCTGTTACTTATTCCTGGGGTCACATGAGGTCACCCTTCTTCTGGATCTCATTCCTGGGGTCACATGAGGTCACCCTCCTTCTGGAACTTATTCCTGGGGTCACATGAGGTCACCCTTCTTCTGGAACTTATTCCTGGGGTCACATGAGGTCACCCTCCTTCTGAATCATATTCCTGGGGTCACAGAGGTCACCCTTCTTCTGGAACTTATTCCTGAGGTCACATGAGGTCAGTCTTCTTCTGGATCATATTCCTGGGGTCACATGAGGTCACCCTCCTTCTGGATCATATTCCTGGGGTCACATGAGGTCAGCCTTCTTCTGGATCATATTCCTGGGGTCGCGTGAGGTCAGCCTTCTTCTGGAATTTATTGCTGGGGTCGCATGAGGTCACCCTTCTTCTGGATCATATTCCTGGGGTCACATGAGGTCACCCTTCTTCTGGATCACATTCCTGGGGTCACATGAGGTTACCCTTCTTCTGGATCACATTCCTGGGGTCACATGAGGTCACCCTTCTTCTGGATCATATTCCTGGGGTCACATGAGGTCACCCTTCTTCTGGATCATATTCATGGGGTCACATGAGGTCACCCTTCTTCTGGATCATATTCATGGGGTCACATGAGGTCAGCCTTCTTTTCGATCTTATTCCTGGGGTTACATGAGGTCAGCCTTCTTCTGGATCTTATTGCTGGGGTCACATGAGGTCACCCTTCTTCTGGATCACATTCCTGGGGTCATATGAGGTCACCCTTCTTCTGGATCACATTCCTGGGGTCATATGAGGTCACTGTTCGGGATCTCATTGTTTTATAAGGGGTAGAATTTTATATGAAATGTGAGAAAAGGTTTCCCGGTGGAGACTCGGATCAGATTTGATTTTCTAGAACCTTTTTATGACATTGAAGTTTAGATCTCAGAATACTAAGGAGTAACTGTACTGAACGTGTGGTTCCGGGCTGTGAGGAGGAGGAGGATGGTCACTGTACTGAACGTGTGGTTCCGGGCTGTGAGGAGGAGGACGGTAACTGTACTGAACGTGTGGTTCCGGGCTGTGAGGAGGAGGAGGATGGTCACTGTACTGAACGTGTGGTTCCGGGCTGTGAGGAGGAGGAGGACGGTCACTGTACTGAACGTGTGGTTCCGGGCTGTGAGGAGGACGGTCACTGTACTGAACGTGTGGTTCCGGGCTGTGAGGAGGAGGACGGTAACTGTACTGAACGTGTGGTTCCGGGCTGTGAGGAGGACGGTCACTGTACTGAACGTGTGGTTCCGGGCTGTGAGGAGGAGGAGGACGGTCACTGTACTGAACGTGTGGTTCCAGGCTGTGAGGAGGAGGAGGAGGATGGTCACTGTACTGAACGTGTGGTTCCGGGCTGTGAGGAGGAGGAGGATGGTCACTGTACTGAACGTGTGGTTCCGGGCTGTGAGGAGGAGGAGGATGGTCACTGTACTGAACGTGTGGTTCCGGGCTGTGAGGAGGACGGTCACTGTACTGAACGTGTGGTTCCGGGCTGTGAGGAGGAGGAGGATGGTCACTGTACTGAATGTGTGGTTCCGGGCTGTGAGGAGGAGGAGGACGGTAACTGTACTGAACGTGTGGTTCCGGGCTGTGAGGAGGAGGAGGACGGTAACTGTACTGAACGTGTGGTTCCGGGCTGTGAGGAGGAGGAGGACGGTAACTGTACTGAACGTGTGGTTCCGGGCTGTGAGGAGGAGGAGCACACCATGCACATGCGTGCATTCCTAGTCCTGCTCTCATGGTGGGGGGTGTTGTGCGGGGGAGGGGGGGGGGGGAGTCATATTACAGTCAGAAATGAGTATTGTGGGCGGAGTCATACCGGTTGACGGTTGCGCTCAGTTTCAGGTGTTCCGGGTTGCGGATGAGTTTGTCCAGAATGCTGACAATCAGGGAGAATCGGGGGCGCTCATTGCGGTCCCTCTGCCAGCAGTCCAGCATGAGTTGGTGTAACGCCGTTGGACATCCCATGGGAGCCGGAAGACGGTAACCTTCCTCTACCGAATTTATTACCTGAAGAGAAAAACATCATTAATACTCTTCATCCATTCGCAGCATTTCCAGGTACTTCCTGACCATTGACAAGACTTCCCCTCACCTCCGGCCAGATCACATATACAGTGTAGAAAGATGGGTCATGTATATGGGCAATGGGAGTATCTATGGGCAATGGAAGTATGTATGGGTAATGGGAGTATCTATGGGTAATGGGAGTATCTATGGGTAATGGGAGTATTTATGGGTAATGGGAGTATTTATGGGTAATGGGAGTATTTATGGGTAATGGAAGTATGTATGGGTAATGGGAGTATCTATGGGCAATGGAAGTATCTATGGGTAATGGAAGTATCTATGGGTAATGGGAGTATCTATGGGTAATGGGAGTATTTATGGGTAATGGGAGCATCTATGGGTAATGGGAGCATCTATGGGTAACGGGAGCATCTATGGGTAATGGGAGTATCTATGGGGTAATGGGAGTATCTATGGGTAATGGGAGTATTTATGGGTAACGGGAGCATCTATGGGTAACGGGAGCATCTATGGGTAACGGGAGTATCTATGGGTAAGTATTTATGGGTAACGGGAGCATCTATGGGTAACGGGAGCATCTGGATGGGTAATGGGTAATGGGTAACGGGAGCATCTATGGGTAACGGGAGCATCTATGGGTAACGGGAGTATCTATGGGTAACGGGAGCATCTATGGGTAACGGGAGTATCTATGGGTAACGGGAGTATTTATGGGTAACGGGAGCATCTATGGGTAACGGGAGCATCTATGGGTAACGGGAGCATCTATGGGTAACGGGAGCATCTATGGGTAACGGGAGTATCTATGGGTAACGGGAGCATCTATGGGTAACGGGAGTATCTATGGGTAACGGGAGCATCTATGGGTAACAGGAGTATCTATGGGTAACGGGAGCATCTATGGGTAACGGGAGCATCTATGGGTAATGGGAGCATCTATGGGTAATGGGAGTATTTATGGGTAACGGGAGCATCTATGGGTAATGGGAGTATTTATGGGTAACGGGGAGCATCTATGGGTAACGGGAGCATCTATGGGTAACGGGAGTATTTATGGGTAACGGGAGCATCTATGGGTAATGGGAGCATCTATGGGTAACGGGAGCATCTATGGGTAATGGGAGTATTTATGGGTAACGGGAGTATTTATGGGTAACGGGACTATCTATGGGTAATGGGAGCATCTATGGGTAACGGGAGCATCTATGGGTAACGGGAGCATCTATGGGTAACGGGAGCATCTATGGGTAACGGGAGCATCTATGGGTAACGGGAGTATTTATGGGTAATGGGAGCATCTATGGGTAACGGGAGTATCTATGGGTAACGGGAGTATCTATGGGTAACGGGAGCATCTATGGGTAGGGAGCATCTATGGGTAATGGGAGTATCTATGGGTAACGGGAGTATTTATGGGTAATGGGAGCATCTATGGGTAACGGGAGCATCTATGGGTAACGGGAGTATCTATGGGTAATGGGAGTATTTATGGGTAATGGGAGTAATTGACTCAGGGTACAGAATGTTCATGTAGATACTTTGCAGCTCGGATTGGACCATCGGATCGATTTAATAGGACTAAGCGTCTGACTGTAATGGAAGGTCATCTGGAGGCGTGGTCTGTAGATACTGAGTAATAATCGCGGTCACGCCCCTTCCTCTCTTCAGTCCCGCCCACTAGGAGGAGAAATGAGAATCATAATGGTCATGGGTTGGTGACAGATGGGTCTACGCACATCTCGGTTGGTCATGTTCCAGTACGGTCTCTCGCCATACGCCAGGACCTCCCACATGACGATTCCGTAGCTCCACACGTCGCTGGCAGAGGAGAATTTCCGGTAGGTGATGGCTTCTGGTGCCGTCCAGCGGATGGGAATTTTACCGCCCTGGGAACACAAAGAGCAGAGTATTCCTCAGACGTGGTCCTCACAGACAGCATTCTATAGATATTGGATATGATGGAACACTCACTGTGGTGGTGTAGGCAGCTTCAGGGTCATCCTCCAGAATCCGGGACAGGCCGAAGTCAGAAACTTTACATACCAGGTTGCTGTTGACCAGAATGTTCCGAGCGGCCAGATCCCGATGGACAAATCCCAAATCAGAGAGATATTTCATGCCTGAAGAGATTCCCCGCAACACGCCAACCAGCTGAATTATGGTGAACTGACCATCCCGGCTCTGAAACACAAACATCCCCGATCTCCTACAAACCTGGAGGTGACATTGTGATAGAACCTGTGACCTGGACGCACCCAGAGTCTTGTCTATTCTTCAACATAAATACATTCTAATGCCATCCTATCCATTATTCCTGATTGTAATAACTACATACAGCCAATCAGAATCAACCCCTGTATGATCTTCAATCAGTGGAGAAGTAAACGTCTTTATTGTACGCATTCCATGTGCAATGGTTCAGAATCTCGCAGGTGGAACCTCCAGAAGCTCTCCATGATGGAGCTTCCAGGGGTTCTACAGGGCAGAGCTTCCAGGGGTCCTTCAGGGCAGAGCTTACAGGGGTCCTTCAGGGCAGAGCTTCCAGGGGTTCTTCAGGGCAATGCTTCCAGGGGTCCTTCAGGGCAGAGCTTCCAGGGGTTCTTCAGGGCAGAGCTTCCAGGGGTCCTTCAGGACAGAGCTTCCAGGGGTCCTTCAGGGCAGAGCTTCCAGGGGTTCTTCAGGGCAGAGCTTCCAGGGGTCCTTCAGGGCAGAGCTTTCAGGGGTCCTTCAGGGCAGAGCTTTCAGGGGTCCTTCAGGGCAGAGCTTTCAGGGGTCCTTCAGGGCAGAGCTTCCAGGGGTCCTTCAGGGCAGAGCTTCCAGGGGTCCTTCAGGGCAGAGCTTCCAGGGGTCATTCAGGGCAGAGCTTCCAGGGGTCCTTCAGGGCAGAGCTTCCAGGGGTCCTTCAGGGCAGAGCTTCCAGGGGTCCTTCAGGGCAGAGCTCCAGGGGTCCTTCAGAGCAGAGCTTCCAGGGGTCCTTCAGGGCATAGCTTCCAGAAATCCTTCTGATTGGAGCTCCAGGAGTCCTCCAAGATGGAATTCCTGGATAGACACAGCTGGAGATCCTCTGCACTGGATTATCATCTCAATGAAATGTATTATGAGTGCTTACCCTGAGAAATGAATCCAGAGAGCCATTCTCCATGTACTCCGTCACAATCATTGTTAACTTACCTGCAAACACAGAAGAAGAAAAGATATATAAGCATCACCTGACTCTTACCCACCAGGTCCATATTGGTTGCCGACTGTGGGGCTGTTTTCAGGAACTTACTTCGGGTCACTACACCTTCAAGATGAATGACATTGGGGTGATCAAACTGGGCCATGATGCTAGCTTCGCTCAAGAAGTCTCTTCGCTGCTTCTCACTGTAACCAACTTTTAATGTCTTGATGGCCACCGAGATTTCCCGCTTTCCTGGGAGTTTCAGACGACCATAACAGACCTCTCCAAACTCCCCTAGAGAGAAACCAAGATGGGAGTGAGAAAAGGACGGTGTAAATCGTGATTCCAAAACCCCCGACCATGTGAAAATGGCGGACATTAGAGTTTGGTCATCAGGACTGGAAAGGGTTATGGAAATGTGGGGTTGGCTTTTAGCTGCATGAGTTGACTTTCACGTTATATCGACATAACATACAAAGCAACCTAGATCAACGAGAAGTCTGACTTACCAGAACCAATTATTTTTTCTCAATCTTAATTCTGGATGCCTCAATCTCCCGGGCGAATTCATGGACGGCCTGGCAGGGGTCCTCATATGTGTGGGGGTCCACATAGAGTTTGGGCTCTGTAAAGGTTACTGTTGGAGAAACATAAGAGAAGGAAGACTGAGCACCTGACCCTCTGCTGTCCTATATTGGAAGGTTTTATCCTCCACTCACATTGTCCATTCTGATAATGCATCTTCTCCTCATCAGAGTCCTGGAAGGCCTTGCTGTACCCACAATGCCTGAGGACAGACATATGGAGGACACGTGTCAGAACACGGTGGACAGGTGACAAGCGGGGGTGAATTCTGGCACTTACCGCTTTTTGCAGATTAAAAAAGTCAGGAGAATGACCAGACCCGTGATTAGCGTCAGACAGATCCACACGATGGTCATGGTGTCGTATCTCAGGGCCGCTGCCATACAAAGACAAAATAGAGGGCTGACTGGATGCAACACGTGAATGTCTCGGTCATATCGAAGCTCAGTTGTTTTGTTGTGAGAGGTCCTTGGACAATACAGTCCAGATTTACTGACCAGCCAGAGCCATATTTAGGCCGACATCTGACATCAAGCCAGGCCATACATTATGTAACCATGGGTTGAAGAAAAGAAAACTGCTTAATTCCCCATCAACAAAGTCGATGTAGACAGGGAATCCCTCCCACTGCGCCATTGTGGTTTCCTAGACATCAGAATACAGAAATCACGTCTGGTGGCTGTAGCTGCCAGCAGAGATCAAACTTAAAACCCCAGACAGGCTGGTTGTACTCGATCAATAGACTTCAGACCAGCCTGCCCATAGATGGATTGGAAGTTCGATCTGTCTATGGCCAGCTTAGCACTCTGACATCACAAATGCTGCTTTATTAAAACATCGTCATGGAGTAGACAGATGTGCTTCCAATATGTCCGATACACATTCTAATATCTCAGGAGGTCATTGTTATCACAAACACGTGGTCGGGGTCTCAGCTGTCCTTCAAGACTTACTTGCTTTACTCGTCTCAATCTCTACAGTTTGGCTGAACTTGCCACAGCCAGCTGAGGTTCGGGCCCTGACCTGGAAGACATAGCAGGTGGATGGTTTGAGGCTGGTCACTACAGCCTTGGTTTCCTTGGCCTTCAGGGTGGAATAACTCTGCATCTCCTTGTCCTGGAGAAGAACATGCAACTATTAGGTCATCAAGAAGAAAATAGTGAGCAATGCCACCTACATCACAGGCACACACACGGGACCAGCCTCTCATGACAATGACAAAAATGACACCAGCCAGCCTGTCACTGCAGGTCTATAGGACCAGAATTCCGTTCTATGGAGAAGGATGTTGTAATATTGGGAAGAATTCCATAATATGAAGAAGCCCAATCCATGTAGTAGAATGTCTGGAGAGCAATGAGAGATGAACTCCTACTTCTAGGCTCAGGATATATTGGTGGGATTAGTTTACAGAGTAGATCCCTTGAGTTGGAAATTAGAATCGATTGAATAACCGATCAAACATTCACAAAGGAAGATGATTGAACCCTAAAATGGAGGCATTCGAAAGGCCGAGACATTTCTAATCACCTTTTCAAAGTATTTGATCTCATATTCCAGAATAATTCCGTTGGGCTGGTCGGGTTCCTGCCATACGAGCGTAATGCTGTTCTGTGAAGTCTTCTCTTTACGAATGGCGACTACCTGAGAAGGGGCTGACAGACGTAGAGTGTCATTTCTGAAGGGTTAATTGCTTTACCTAAACAAATCTGATATGGGGTCAAGTGTGGTCACATGGCTTCTGGCTCCACCCACACACTATTCCCTGGTTTTCTGTCTGTCTTAGAGACGTATATCAGGTATTTACACAGCAGTTATGCAGACTTCCCCCAGTCTCCTACCTGCCTGATTGGTAGTTATATTCACGGTGGAGAACATCCGTTGCTCCAAGCTGAAGTCAGAGACGCCATTGACGGCCTCCACCCAGAAGGTATAGTTCATGTGGGCCTGGAGATTGGCTACAATTAGGGAGGTCTTTGCTAGACTCATCTGTTGAGGAGTATAGCGGACACCTCCCCCGCAGGGCTCACACTGTCCGGCATCCCAAGCACAGCGACGGCAAATAACGTTGTAGGTAACATCCCTGCGCCCACCTGTGTCCCGTGGTGGGTTCCACTCCAGGGTTACTGTTGTGCCATTTACACTCGAGATTAAATTGAATGGAGCAGAGGGAGGACCTAGGAGGAACAGATTAAACATACAGGCTGAGAAGAGGATCTGAGAATGATAGAGGACACATACAGGTTGAATGGAGGACCTAAGAGAGATGGAGGACACATAGAGACTGAGTGAAGAACCCTACAGGGAAGGAAGACACATAGTGACTAAATTAAGGACTGAGAGAGATAGAGGACATATAAAGACTGAGTGGAAGACCTAAGAAAGATGGGGGACACATAGAGATTGAGTGAAGAACCTGAAAGTGATAGAGGACACATAGAGATTGAATGGAGGATCTGAGAGGGATGAAGGACACAGAGACTGAGCTGAGGGCCTGAGACATGGGAGATACATACTAACTCGAAAAGGGACCCAAGAGGAATAGAGGACACACAGAGGCTGGATGATGAACCTGCGAGGGATAGAGGACATGTAGAGACTGAATGGAAGACCTTAGAAATATAGAGGACACATAGTAACTTAATGAGGGACTCAAGAGGAATAGAGGACACATAGAGACTGAACGGAGGACCTGAGAGAGATGGAGGACACATAGAGACTGAGTGAAGGACATGAGCTTGAAAGAAGACGCTTGGTGACTAAATTAAGGACTGAGAGATAGAGGACACATAAAGGCTGAATGATGGACCCAAGAGGGATGGAGGACACATAGAGACTGAGCAGAGGACCTGGGTGAGATATATGACACACAGAGACCAAATAGAAAACCTGAGTGGTGGAGAACACATGGAGACTGAGCTGAGGACCCGGGAGAGATGGAGAACACATGGAGACTGAGCTGAGGACCCGGGAGAGATGGAGAACACATGGAGACTGAGCTGAGGACCCGGGAGAGATGGAGAACACATGGAGACTGAGCTGAGGACCCAGGAGAGATGGAGAACACATGGAGACTGAGCTGAGGACCCGGGAGAGATGGAGAACACATGGAGACTGAGCTGAGGACCCGGGAGAGATGGAGAACACATGGAGACTGAGCTGAGGACCCGGGAGAGATGGAGAACACATGGAGACTGAGCTGAGGACCTGGGAGAGATGGAGAACACATGGAGACTGAGCAGCGTTCCTGAGGGGGATTGAGGACAAAGTGAGATTAAGTGGAGGGCTTGCATAGGGTTGGAGGACAAACAGAGAATGAGTGAAGGATCTGAGAGGAATGTAGCAGGAGTGGGTCAGTATGGAGTTTTATAATACTTAGCTCCACTTACGTGTACAGGCGGAGGTGGGAGAGTCACTCATTGCCCGGTAATAGTTGGGGTCACAGTCACAGATCTGGGAAGCCAAGGTGTCGGAGTGACTGAAGGGCGGACACTTGGAGCACAGTTGGTCCCCCGGGGAGGCCTTGTAGTATCCCAGGTCACAGGCTGCAGGAGAGAAGGAGGCATCACACTCAGAATCCTATCAGTATCTAATGACACCATTATCAACAAGACAAGATGGCCAACACAGGACCTGCCATGGGCCAGGTGTAGGGTGGTCTGAGCATTATATCTGTTCCCGGCATTGGCCTCGGAGTTCACTGCTCACCATTCCATAAAATCAAGAAAAACAGAGAAGAAGAAGTGTCATAAACGTTGGCCAGTCATTGAAGGCCTTGCATATTACAAGGCTGTTACCCTCCCAGCTTTCAGTCTCTTTCATCAAAGAAGCAAACTGAGAGCCTTTAAAAAGGAGCAGAAAGCTGATCAGCTGCTAGAAGGAGAATGTTTGGATTTGCTGAAATGTGAGGATTGTGCATCCACGAAGTAATTCTTCCATACATTGCTGTGGGTTCAATTCACCGGAACGGATCCTTGTCGCTTTATTTCATTATTTCTGATGCAACAAACAAAGGAATGGCGTACTCTGCCACTAAACATGGAACGCTGAATTCCAGCCACGGCTTTGAGTGGTCCAGCTTGGACCATGTATATATTTATATGCCATACCTGTGGGACTGCTGTGGAAGTAGAGTCCCCATAGTAGCCACCACTACTACAATGATTGCTGCCATCCTATGACAAGCAACTGCCCTACTGCAGAGTGAACACAGGGAGTTGGTTGCTTGCTTGGCCGGGGTGCCAGTCACAGAATGCCTTGGAGATTGTGATGTCACCAACACTGCCAACCCAACACTGCCAACCCAAAACTGTCCACCCAACACTGCCAACCCAAAACTGTCCACCCAACACTGCCAACCCAACACTGCCAACCCAAAACTGCCAACCCAAAACTGCCAACCCGACACTGCCAACCCAAAACTGTCAATCCAACACTGCCAACCCAACACTGCAAACCCGACCTGCCAACTCAAAACTGTTCACCCAACACTGCCAACCCAACACCACCCACCCAACACTGCCAACCCAACACTGCCAACCCAAAACCCAAAACTGCCAACCCAAAACTGCCAACCCGACACTGCCAACCCAAAACTGTCAATCCAACACTGCCAACCCGACACTGCCAACTCAAAAACTGTTCACCCAACACTGCCAACCCAACACCACCCACCCAACACTGCCAACCCAACACTGCCAACCCAAAACTGCCAACCCGACACTGCCAAACCAAAACTGCCAACCCAACACTGCCAACACTACCCAAAACACTCTCAATCCAACACCACCCACCCAACATTGCCAACCCAACACTGTCAACCCAAAACTGCCAACCCAACACTACCCACCCAACACTGCCAACCCAACACCACCCACCCAACATTGCCAACCCAACACTGCCAACCCAAAAAACTCTCAATCCAACACCACCCACCCAACATTGCCAACCCAACACTGTCAACCCAAAAAACTGCCAACCCAACACTACCCACCTAACACTGCCAACCCAACACCACCCACCCAACATTGCCAACCCAACACTGTCAACCCAACACTGCCAAACCAAAACAGCCAACCCGACACTGCCAGCCCAAAACTGTCCACCCCAACACTGCCAACCCAAAACTGCCAACCCAACCACCCACCCAACACTGCCAACCCAACACCACCCACCTAACAACATTGCCAACCCAAAAACTGCCAACCCAACACCACCCCCAACACACTGCCAACTCAACACCCACCCAACACTGCCAACCCAAAACTGCTAACCCAACTCTGCCAACCCAACACTGCCAACCCAACACTGCCCACCCAACACTGCCAACCCAAAACTGCTAACCCAACACTGTCCACCCAACACTGCCAACCCAAAACTGCCAACCCAACACTGTCCACCCAACACTGCCAACCCAAAACTGCTAACCCAACACTGTCCACCCAACACTGCCAACCCAAAACTGCCAACCCAACACTGTCCACCCAACACTGCCAACCCAAAACTGCTAACCCAACACTGCCAACCCAACACTGTCCACCCAACACTGCCAACCCAAAACTGCCAACCCAGCACTGTCCACCCAACACTGCCAACCCAAAACTGCTACCCAACACTGCCAACCCAACACACTATCCACCCAAAACTGCCAACCCAGCACTGTCCACCCAACACTGCCAACCCAAAACTGCTAACCCAACACTGCCAACCCAACACTGTCCACCCAAAACTGCCAACCCAAAACTGCTAACCAAACACTGCCAACCCAACACTGTCCACCCAACACTGTCAACCCAACACTGCCAACCCTAAACTGCCAAAACCCCAAAACCTGGCATTCGGACTTCACCTTCCATATCCACCTTTTGTGTACCAGTGGAGAATATATGGTCACATGAGATCATGGCCTCATTTTGTAGTATAAGATCAGACATGGCCATGCAATGTATGACTCCTCCATCACATGTCTAATGTTTTACATATAAAATCCATCGCCAATACATAATCAGGATGGAAGGAGATCTGCGTATTGCCATGTTAAGAAAAGTTTCTACCATTTCTGATTTAGGAGATAGTAGGAGGAACCTCTGGAGTAGAGCCTGCAGTACCCAGGATCTCTGACATGAACAAATTACAAGCTACTTCCCTGCCTCTGACCTGGATGGGACCTCACCTGAGAGACAGAGGACCTTACTACTTACCTCACTGGGTTCAGAAGGCTGTCAGATTTTCTCCCCTCTGGGAGAAGGTCCTTCATACAGTACAAGTCCTGGGTCAGTATGGTAAACCAACCTCAAATGCCTTAGTGGCCGGAGGTCAGTTTTGCAGATGCAGTCATGAGGATGGAGAATCTATTCACCACCATGTTCCTGAGCTGACACAGTCAGCAGCACCCTGCAGATTTGAACCCTTTAAATGAAATGACTAGAGAACAGCTAATTGAAAAGACTACAAACCCCAAACTGAGGGAAAGGCTGCTTGTGGAGCCAAATACACGTACTTTGCTGTGGATTTGGGGTGTCAAATGGAACAAGAAGCCAGTAATATGCTGAGTTTTGAAGTGTTATTGGGGGAATGTTGTGTATTTGTTCACTTTGTGCCACTTTAAGAAAATGTTATGGCATTTCTACTTTCAGAGATAGAAGAAGAAGTTGGAGTGAGAAGTTTGTGTGATTAATAAATATGGGGGCCTATTAACAGTCGATCTGCAACGGTGATATTTACATGCTTATGGCGATGGCATTTCACATGATGGCTAGCTCCTAGGACATGAAGCCAACTTCCTCCCTCTACTGACTGAGAGAAGGTTGGAGGATAGAGGAGATGTCAGGTCATAGATAGAAGGTTGGAGGACAGAAGAGATATCAGGTCCCAGTTGGAAGGATGTAGAAGAGCAGTGACATGATGTAATAGATGGAAAGTTGGAGGACAGAGGAGATATCAGGTCCTAGTTGGAAGGATGTAGAAGAGCAGTGACATGATGTAATAGATGGAAGGTTGAGGACAGAGGAGATATCAGGTCCTAGTAGTTGGAAGGTTGGAGGACAGAAGAGATATCAGGTCCTAGTTGGAAGGATGTAGAAGAGCAGGGACATGATGTCATAGATGGAAGGTTGGAGGACAGAGGAGATATCAGGTCATACATGGAAGGTTGGAGGACAGAAGAGATATCAGGTCATAGATGGAAGGTTGGAGGATAGAGGAGATATCAGGTCATATATGGAAGGTTGGAGGACAGAGGAGATATCAGGTCATAGATGGAAGGTCGGAGGACAGAGAAGATATCAGGTCATAGATGGAAGGATGTAGAAGAGCAGTGACATGATGTTATAGATGGAAGGTTGGAGGACAGAGGAGATATCAGGTCATAGATGGAAGGTTGGAAGACAGAAGAGATATCAGGTCCTAGTTGGAAGGATGATAGAAGGTTGGAGGACAGACAGGGGGATATGATCAGTCATAGATGGAAGGTTGGAGGATAGATGGAAGAGACAGAGAGATCAGGTCATAGATGGAAGGTTGGAGGACAGAGGAAGAGATATCAGGTCATAGATGGAAGGTTGGAGGACAGAAGAGATATCAGGTCATAGATGGAAGGAAGGTTGGAGGACAGAGAGAGATATCAGGTCATAGATGGAAGGTTGTCAGAAGAGGACAGAGATATCATGTTCCCAGATTGGAAGGTTGGAGGACAGAGGAGATATCAGGTCATAGATGGAAGGTTGGAGGAGGACAGAGGAGATATCAGGTCATAGATGGAAGGTTGGAGGACAGAAGAGATATCAGGTCCTAGTTGGAAGGATGTAGAAGACAGAGGACATGATGTCATAGATGGAAGTTTGGAGGACAGAAGAGATATCAGGTCATAGATGGAAGGTTGGAGGTTGGAGGATATCAGGTCATAAGGATGTAGAGGAGATATCAGAGTCAGGTCATAGATGGAAGAAGGTTGGAGGACAGAAGAGATATCAGGTCAGGATGGAGATTGGATGGATGGAGGAGGACAGAAGATATCAGGTCATAGATGGAAGGTTGGAGGACAGAGGAGATATCAGGTCATAGATGGAAGGTTGGAGGACAGAGAGATATCAGGTCCTAGATGGAGGATGTAGAAGAGCAGTGACATGATGTCATAGATGGAAGGTTGGAGGACAGAAGGTTGGAGATATCAGGTCATAGATGGAAGGTTGGAGGATAGAGGAGATATCAGGTCATAGATGGAAGGTTGGAGGATAGGGAGATATCAGGTCATAGATGGAAGGTTGGAGGACAGAAGAGATATCAGGTCATAGATGGAAGGTTGGAGGACAGAGAGATATCAGGTCCTAGTTGGAAGGATGTAGAAGAGCAGTGACATGATGTAATAGATGGAAGGTTGGAGGACAGAGGAGATATCAGGTCCCCAGATGGAAGGTTGGAGGACAGAGAGAGATATCAGGTCATAGATGGAAGGTTGGAGGACAGAGGAGATATCAGGTCATAGATGGAAGGTTGGAGGAGGTTGAGAGGACAGAGGAAGGATATCAGGTCATATGTTATAGATGGA